AGTAATGTGGCAGCAAACACAGAAGGACCTGGATTGCTGGCAGATACAGGTCATCCACCAGTTTATTGCAAAGATAAAAGGTTTATTACTGAAATAAATTATTCCATCTTTGCAGTAAAACCTTCATAGCTTGGTTTGCAGGAAATGAAATTATTTTAATTGCCTTGTCATTTACTATGCCCGCTTCAGAAAACCAATTTTTTTTCTCCCAAACTTTTTTTTTTATATTTTTATTTTAAAAAAAGCAACAAGCTTCCTTCTCTCCAGCCAAACTGCCCTTAATAACTTTAGCACTTGTCTGCCTTTTTGTGTTTTCGTGCTGCATAGCAAAGACTTGTATTTTAGTTGACCCCAAGAAATGCTGTATGGTTTTGGTTTTTTTTTTCTTATTTTAACTAATGCACTGCTACATGCTTTGTTTTTTTACATACCTTATGAAAGATTTGTCTTTTTTTAGCCTGGGAGAATGTAACAGTTCTCAGAAGTTGACACACTGATGCCACAAAATTGTCAGTCCCAAAGCTTTTCTAAGCATTATGATGTGGGAGCTGAGATATTTTTCAGCAAGAATAGATTAAATAGAGAGATTATGGGCTGATAGCCCAGCTCTCCTTTTCTGGGTCCATTGTTAGATAACATTTTTATTTCCAAATTCTGGGTGAAGTTTTGTAGATAAATTCTACATATTTTGGTAATACTATGTTCTTCTGAAATTCTGATTTTGCTTCCAAGAACATAAATTCATTAAATCCTAAATGATGTAGTTCTTGGACAGTAATGCAACTTTTCATGACGCTGAGGAGTTGTGAAGTACAGATCCAAACATCCAGCCTTTATTTTTGAGGATATATCTGTGTAAAGACAAATGGAGTCTCTCACACTGAGGTTTTCTGTGTCACCCAAGCATGGTCAACTTTGGAAACAATTATTTTCTTGAAAGAAACAATAGCATTTAATTACCAGTGTCAGAAGAAGGGAAAGCCTTTTATCCCAATTTTAGTTACTGTGAAGAATAAAAGCAGATATGAAGAAAAGAAGAAATGCATGGATCATTTCAATATTTTCAATATTGCCCATAAAATAAGTTGATTCAACCTTTCTATGGCTGTATTTCTCCCCAGTCCCAAGCCTACAACACAATTTTAAGCTCTCTCCAAATGTCCTTATACAAAGTTCTAGTTAAAAAGTTAATTTTAATTTTGAATTAAGGACTGGCATACATGAATCAACACATCCTAAGGAAAAACAGGGACCATTTTGTTGAGTCTTCAGGCAGGCTGATGAAGGCATGTTGGCTTCTAGTGAACACAGACATCCCTTCAAGCTGTGCCTGCATGTTCTGCCTCTCTTTCATACAGTTTGGTGAAAATTGAGGGTATTTGAAGCTGGAATAAACAGTGATAAAGTTTGGGATGCAAATCTGGCAGTTGGTTTTCAAAATATCCAAAGGCAGAGCACCTACTCCAGCCTGCAGATTATTATGTAGAAAGCCTCCTCAGAGGCCATGTAGTTCACAACCACCACATTTAAAATTATGATTCAGAATGTTTGCTTTAGAGCAGAGTGTTGGCCACAAAAATTTCGTGGCTGTGAGAGGTAGTAGCCCCAGAAATGTCTTAAATCTCAGTGTCCCTTGATTCTTGCTCAGGGACAAGAACCTGGTACATCTGAGAAACGTCTGAACATAGTAGTTATTAGGCAAAGGCATTTTGGAAAAGCAGCTTAGGATGCAAGAGTTGTTCTTGGTCTCAGAGAGTTCTTTGGGTGCTCCTGGGACAGCAAGGGACCAGGCAGCATAAACCAGACCTAAGCTGATGCTTGTGCTCACTGCTCATGATGGAGTCGTGGCTTTCTCGTGGTGCTTTGTGTGAATTTATTATGTTAAAATCACTTTCTATTGTCAGAAGTTGTTTTTTATTCTTTCAAAATAAAAACTATTGTGTTAGAAATTAAAAGCAAGCTACATTGGCCAAAAAAAAAAAAAAAAGAGGCTGTTTGAGATGGATACTTAGATGGATTTTCATCTCTGACAACCAAAATCTTTTATCAGCTTCAGGTGAAACCATTTTTCCTTGATCTCTTAATCTGTTTCGTTCTTAGCAGTGGTAAAGACACACCACAGTGCCTAATTGTGTTGCACTGATAGTGTGTGTGTGTGATTGTTTTGGAGTGACTTTCTGGGGTGGCAGCAGCTGGGATTTGTGGTGTCTCCCTGCCACAGAGGGCCATGGAAGAAGGTTTTGTCCTCTGACTGGAAGGCAGGAACTTTTTCTCAGTGTTACATTTAAGCAGCTTATACTTCATCAATAATACTTGGAGAACCTGTTATTGTCTTGAACTCTGTTCTTTTTTCAGCATAAAATATATTTGATGTGTAAAATACACAAATTTATGTAGTTAATGTCCCTGTCTCAAATTTGACTTTCCCAATTACTACATAAAAACAATGAACCAGCAGCACAAATGACAGGCATTTGCAGTCATTCTATGGGAGAAAAATATTAAATAGCTTTAAGAAATATTGCTGCTGTTTTCCTCTTTACCTCCAGGAAGGAGAATTGTACAATATGACTTTTCCTGGCTTTTGCTTTTACAGATGATGTGAAAGCTGCCCAATAACATTACAGCAGGGTGAGGTAGCAAATTCTTCATTTAGTGGTGGTGTCTGAAACAGGAGCAAGCTCAGGGAGTTTGATGAAATGTTCAAGCAAGATTTCATGAGCTCTGGCAGGTGCTTGTTTTCAGAAAAAAACACAGATTATCCACCACTACAAAAAGTTACCTGGGAGCAAGTTGACCTGGGAATGTTGTTTGGGCCTCCAAATTACTTTTTTGCAAAACTTTTTTTAAATGAAAGTTGGTTTGGTTTTGGGTTTTTTTTTACTATTAATTGAGGAATATTTTGGAGATGATCAAGTCTCAGCAGCTCTTCACTGAAAAAGAAAGACCTTTTTATGATAGGTAGTTTAAATCTATGAATAACTGTATGAGGAAATTTAATTTGTACAATGGTTTAACTGTTCAGTATGGGTTTTCAAAATAACACTTCAACTGGAAAATAAAATTGATTAGATCTGTTGAGGATAACTGAGTTATAAAATTAAAATTTCAAAGTAGCATCTTTTTTTTCTTTTTTTTTTTTAGAAAAATACTTTATATAATGCTTTTAGAAGTAAATGCAAATGATTTGTATCTGCATTTATGTGAAATGCATCAGGGTGCTTGTCAGCTCAACTTTGTACTTATACTTGCTCAAAACCTTTCAGTACAGTGTTCTGTTTTCATTTTGTACTATCTGTCAGAAATCTTTGATTTGAAAGCTTTCTTCCCTGCTCTCTTGCTGGGTAGATGTAATGGAACTCTTGACTAAAGTAATTATTTATTTTTTTTTTTTACTAAAACAGCTGTAATTCTGTAAATTTAAAGAAAACTGTAAATACTAAACCAAAATTTTCATCTTCTTATAGCTTTCCTACCCAGAAAGCCTAATTTTAACAACCATAGTAATGAGTTTACTTTATGCAAGTGTATTTTTTAAGGTGTAAGAAATCTGAAAATATAACTGTACATAATCATTCTCATGAACAGTCATTACCAGGCTTTTACAGTTCATTTGTAAAAGCAAAAGAAATAAAGTAACTTGCTAAAATGTGTGCTTTGTGTCTTTTGCTGAGCTGCTGAAACACATAGATAAAGTTTTTCTATTTCTGCAACTTAATAAAGTTATAAAAGTTTTCATAACTTCCATTGCCTGCTGCCTCAGAGAGTTTAGTGTCCAACACCTGAAAGAGACAGAAGCAACTATCTGAAATCTCTTTTTTTTTTTTCAATAATTATAGATACCATGTTAATTTATGGAAAAGAAACAAAGCATGTATTGTTTGTAAGCCTATGTGTAACACCATATACAGGTTTTCTCTCCTGTGTTAATATTAAATAAGTGTAACACTACACCCAAAATGGACGTGTTTAAACCCAAAATGGATGTGTTTAAACCCAAAATGGATGTGTTTAAGCCCTGCCTGTGGGCAGTGATTGATGTGTGCCCCATCCTTGAATCAAGATTCTTCTAAAGTTTTCAAATCTGCTTTTTATATGTGTCTAATAGAGATACTGGCTAGCTCTATGTGAGTTTAACCCTTGAGGCATATCACAGTGCTTCCTCAAGAGTCTTTGCTCAATGAAAATACATTTTTGACCTAAGTTTTGCCCTGTTTTAAGCAGACAGAGATTCTGTGCCCTCCAGCTTACAGGGATGAGTGTGATAAAGTTGGATCAGAAAACTTCATTGCACTTTATTTCTCCGGTAGGTGTAGAAGCCCATTGCTTGAATTCTGAATTCATCATGTGGTGTTTGCTTTTTCAGCAATGCAGCAAAGGCAGAAAGTGTACATTAGAAACATCAAAAAAATCCAGAATTAAGTATTCCCCCCTTCTTTTCCTGTGTTTGTGTCCATGAGATATCCATCTTGGCTAGATATCATGCCTAATGGTTAGCAGAAGAGAAAATTCAAACCATCCTGTTAGAGTGGCTTTCAGCTGGTGTCTGTTGTGGTCTGTTGGATACTTCTGAAAGATTTACAGGAGCTGACAAAGATCTTATGTCAAAATAGGCTTAAATTTGCTATGCAGGGAACTTGCCTGCTCTCAGCAATGGAGTAATTTAGGAGATCAACATTTAAAGAAAGATTACAAAAAAAGGAATATGGGTCCTGCTCAAGATGAAGTAGAGCATAAAATGTGATATTTCCATTCTGCGTTCTTTCTTTTACTTCTAGAACTCATTTTTCCGATTACAATTGCATGGGGGTTTTTTCCTGCTCTGTATTAGTGGAGCCAGTCTTTCCAAAGAGTTATTTTAATCAGGCTTTGTTACAGATTTTACAGCTTCCCATTATACTCAGATAACTGTACGATCTAGCTGGAGGGGGGTGTGGATAAAAATCTGAACTGCCATTTCTACTGTAGATAGCTGACATTCTTTTGCATTCTACCTGTAGGAACTTCCAGCCCCTTTGCTTGATGATACCTATGGGAAGGAATTGGGAGATGAAGCAGCAGCAAAGTCTGAGGATTCTCAGGATTCTATGAAAATAGCCTGGCGCTACCAAAATTTACCAAAAATGGAGGTAACAGCTGTTTTCTGCTTTCCTCTTGCACTCAAAATTAATTTGAGAAGCAAATTATTTTCAGTAGAATCTAGACAACAGAACTCCTAATGGGTATTGTTACAGGATTGCCTCTTGAGGGAAAACAACACCACTGAATGTTTTAATTACTAGTGATACAAAAAGAGAGGGAATTTGAGAGTTTGCAGGTACTCTAAAACTCAGTACAGGCAATATTAATTTTAAATTGAAAAAAAAAATTAAGTTCCATGGGATTTTTCAATGAGTATTATTAAATTGAGACAGGTTTTTATGAAAGTTTGGATAATGTGCTCACTTACAAACTTGGCCCAAATTTAGCTGTACACAAATTACTTAAGTAGGTTTAATCAGCACGACTTACTAGGTGTCTGCAGTGAAAGTAGTGTGTTGAAGCAAGCTGTTGACCTGCTTATCCATGTGCATAACAACTAAAGCAAGCACTTGAGATTATATCAGCTTCACTGTCACTGGAAACTAATCACTGTGCAGGGACAATGTAAGAAAGAAGCTCAGTGGTCAGTCTTTCAGAGTTTACAGTTGTTAGTGTTTTGTGAATGATCAATCCCCCATGGCTGACTTTCTTACTTTCTTATTTAATCCAGTGGCACATCCAATCTTTAACAAAATTACAGCATTTCTGACAATTCAGAATGAAATCCTGGTTTTGTCTATACATTTTAGTCTGAATTTTTAAATTCTGGTTTAGATGTAGTCATACCTGCCTAGGAAGTTCAGCTGTATTCTTAAAAACATAATTGGAATGTGACAAAATGATCTTACAAGGCTTGGCATGTTTGGTTTTCTGTGAAATTGCACAGACATGGCTATATAGTTGTGTCAGAAAAGACTTATATATGGTGACATGCCAAATCAAACAGCCTCCAGGGTAATCATATAATCTCATCAATTTTATTATTGTGGAGCTTGCTGTGCCACTCTGAACCATCCCCAAAATAATTTGTCTGTTTTAAAATCTAGCAGAGTTCTTTGTACATTGATATGAAAACAATTGAATGTTGTTAACAAATTGTATTCTGATGTCCTAAAAAAATAGAAAAATTATTTTTAAAAGATTTGGTTGGGTGTGCATTCATCTTCTTTAATTTCATAGCAGTAAACACTTCTTCCACTAACGTAATATTTCTTGTAAATGTGTGATGTACGTGCCCTTGATTATTGCAAATTGATTATACAAGATGGAATAAGATGGTCAGTCTTTTGGGGAGAGTTTCCCTTGTTATTGTTGCTTTTTGAGTCTTTGATCATTCTCAATGGTTGAGGTACAATATTTTTGTGTGTACGTTAAATTTATTCAAAAATTAAAACACACAAAAGTATCAGTCTTAAACTACCTATACTTAAAATACATCAGGACATTGTAATTGGTGAAAAAATTGTTTAAAATTGATATTTTTCTATATTTTATACTGAAGTTACCAAAAAATTTTGACTGTGTTCTATATTAATTGGATTGGTGATTATACTCCATTGAGGAAAAAATCTGATACTGCCTTGCTACCCATAACAATACATTTAGTTGAATTTAATTGAATTTAATAATTTAATGAACAACTTTGGTTGTGATTCCTTCTTTCAATGTTCCTTTGCTGGTAAAAACCAATGTTGAATAAAATTTCAAGGTGTATTTTCCAAACTGATTGAACAAATATGCCAGTGTATTTTCCAAAACTAATGTCAAGTAGTTTCAACTCTGAAAGAGGAAAATTAGCTTTGTTTTCTGCTAGAACTCTAACCATGGTAGCAGAAACTTTTCTGTCCATTTTCTGGCTAAACACAGAGAAAGAATGCTGAGCTAAAGATATCTTTGTGGTATTTTTGATGGTTAATTTGGTCACTGTGTAACAATAGGTTTTGATGGGTAGTTTAGATATTCCCTTTCCATTTATTAGACCCTGTTTAGATTAGCCAGGTACCTCATTTTTGTTCTAATGCATGGTATTTGTATTAGTGCACTTCACAGCTGTCACAGTTTCTCTCTACATATTGCACATACCTTGTATCAGAAAAAAATAGAAGATTTGTAAGAAATCTGTTGGAGTGAAAGGCCTTGTTATGCTTGATGTGCCTTTACCAGTTTGTTACTTTCATCTGTATCAGAGGTGAATTTATTTTAAACTTTTGATTATATGGAGAGCCTGATTTGCAATGCAAGACAGTGTGAATTTTTCTTCTTTTTTTTTTTTTTTTTTGAATGAACTGCTTATGTTCTTGGGGCAATATATAAACTGTCACAGCATGAAATCAATTTTCTGCCTTGATTCATCCTAAATCTGAGATTTCTAGCACATTAGTATTGCAATTAGAAACATTAACGGCAGACGGTCGCATGAAAGCGCGCTCTGCTCGCTGACAATTTAGCGTATTTCTCCTTGTGCAAAACAGGAATCCAGGAAAGAGCTGGCCTGAGCCTCCAGCCCGCTGATAAATTCATCAGCTCAAACTTGAGAGGGATGGCGAGTGTGTGCTGGGCGCTGTGCTAAGGCAGATTATTCATGCTTACTTGATTCAGGTAGGCTTTCCGCGAGCTTCCCGCTAAGCCTGGGAATGCGGGACACTGAGGCCTATTCAGGGCCCTCTGACATGGACCCAGCTTTTATGGCTTTTATGGGGGTTTATTAGTGCCAAATCCCAGGCTCCACCCAGTTTGTAGGCGCTGTGCTCATTCTTTGGAACCAAGAGAGGTTATCACCTACCTTAATCCATGCAGCGGGGTGGATTAAGGACACCAATGTGCCTCAGGATTCTCAAAGAGGATCCTGGAAACTTCTTGTTTCTTCTTTTTTGCTGTCTTTACTAAACTCTATTGGGCCTCACTAAGGATTTGCATCTGAAATGGGCAACCTGGAGCTTTCCTCAATGAAGACATCAGATCAAAGTTCAGTTAGTCAAGGCCTTTCTAAAACATTAAGGGGGCTTGGAAGTACACAATAAAAAGATGAGCTCTGGCAGAGATTGCAGTAAAAACATTCTGATCTGTAATCCGGATAAAGAATAGATTATAGGCCAAAGAACAGCCCCTGTTTAAATTGCTTTCAGAATCCTTGTTTTGAATAAAGTTACATTTTACAATAAAAATATTTAAATTTTGATAGAATGCTTTGTTTTATTGAACTGCCTGCTTTAAAAATCAGATACCAACAAATAAAGTGATACATTGATTTAGAGAACTTGCTTTTCCACTTTTAATTTTTTTTGTAAAACTGGCATGCCTCTGATGACTACATAATCATAAGCAATTCCATGGGTTTTTTAAATTAAAAACTAATTATTTCTTTTAATTAAAAGTTTGGGTTTCGTTGGTTATTCTCAGAAAACTGTTGTGTTATTGTTACTGTTGATATTCTCTGATAACTGACCAGGCCTAACAACTATTAGCCAAGTAATTTCAAAATATTTACCTTAAATCAAATCATTCTAATTAATCATAACAGTTTAATAAACTTTTGATATAATAGTATCTGCTTGAATATTTTATATCTTTATATATAAATTAAATATTGAATATAAATAATATATTTATATTATATTTTATTATTATTATATTATATCTATTTATTTTTTTTTTATGCTATAATAATCTGGGGTGTTGGAGAGGCTGACTTTACATGTATAATTCAAATAATGTTGCAGGTTCTATTCTGAATGCCATTAATGTGGAACAAACAGATGCATTTATTTCCTCTATTTACTATGTACAACATGTTCAAAATGTGTTTTTCCTGCCCAGGTATATGTTCAATTTGGTTTATGATGTTTTATATATCAAAATTAAGATCTGAGGGAAACATATCTTCATTATGGCAAATCATAGTTATTGCGTGTAATGCTCAACCTACTGTTTATTCAATTTTCAAGGAATTAAAAATAGTTTTAAACTGTTTCCTATTTTTCTATAAAAATTACTTTCATGAAGATGCAATAATTTGTTTTTTTCACTGATTATTAAATAAAGGGAAACATTTTCCAGGTGAGCTGAAAATATTTCTGTAGCACCATAGAGTTGTCAGAGACTGAAAAATCTAAGAGGCGGAACACATGATGTTCTGCCCATTTCATAGACCTGGCTTTTGCAAATTTGTGGTCATTTGTCTAGAACATGTGCAAAAATACATTCTTTTAATTATCTGGCTGCACTTTGGTACTCCAACCTGGCATAGTAAAGGTTGAATTCTGTGTGAAAAATTCACATTCAAGCATGACAACAAGGGAATGAAAATTTAGTAAATATTATAATGTTTTTGTACTTGAAGCTTTAATTTAAGCTGAATGGGGAAAAACCAGAGGTTTGACATGTATTCCTAGTTAATTACTTTATTTTGACAGATAATAGTTTAAGGTTGTAACCAGTATTGTTGTTTCCACAGGCCAGCCCAACAACATATACAAAGTTTGGCCATTATTATGATGTTTCTAAAAAAATGTCTCCAGAACTATGTCAGTCTGTAAAATGGCACAGTTTTTACCTCCATGAAGAATTGTCTTTCGAGCCTAAATTGAAGGCATGGTAAGTTTCAATACCACGCTGCTGCTGTGTGTAAATAGATTTTGAGTATTGGCAGGAAAGGGCATTTTTGCATCAGGCTCTCTGTGAAAACCTCTGTGGTGGTGGAGGGGGGTCAGGAGCAGTTGGGTTATGGGTCCCACTCGGTGCCACACGCCTGGAGTGGCACAGGGACAGCTCAGAGCTCTGCTCCCAGCTGGGGGAGGGAGCAGGTTGGCAGTGACAATCAAGGCAGACGTTACTAGGACAGCCGAGGCTGTCAGCCTAGGTTCAGCTGCTTCAGCCCAGCCCTAGTGACAGCCGAGTGTGGGGACTGGGGAGAGCTATTCCTGTCTGGATGAGAATCCTCCCTGAGCTCAGAGATGGGCTTGTCAGGTGGCTCTCAGTCTTAAAAGGATAGCTGCAGTTTTTAGGGCTTAGGAGACAGGCCATCCTTGACCTACATAGCTTAGAGTGCTAGATCAGATTAGTTTATGATGTGCTTTTACTTCTTACATCCTACAGCTTCTCCTAAGAAAAACACAATATACTGTGAATAAAATTACAATCACTAATTATGTCTTACCAAACATTTCCTATTCAAACTCTTCTTGGAATGAATAACTTATTATGTTTATGTCTGTCAGTAGTGAATTAAGGAAGACTGAGAGGAAATGAGTGACAGTAGCAAAGACTCATATTAGCCTGTAGACACAAGTCCATTGTATCTTTCTTGGAGACACTTCAAGTCAAGTCAAACATTAAGGCTGGGCCAGCAATTTCTTTGTCCAGCCCAGTCACTGAATTTATATAATAGTATAATTTATATCATTTATATGCTAGCTTTATAGATCCCAGTGTATAGGGCCAGCTCCTGGAGGCAGTGTGGGATTCATTGGGATTGATTTCCACTGCAGTGCACTCATATCAAACCTCAGATTTATGAAAGAGGTGCAGTATGAACCACCTTCCATAGAGCTGTAGCAAAGCCAAGGCCAAGTCTCTCTCTAATTCATGTTCTGTGCTACATGATCAAATGTCGCTGCTTTGTGAAGTAAATTCTTGCAATAGTGTAAAAAAACCCCACTTTTAGGACAAAGGAGAGAACTTCTTTCTATAGTAAATATTTGAACCAACTTTGTTTTTGAATTAATTTTATAATTTGTAATTTTTAGTGGCAGAGCAATAGAGGATGAACAAAAAAATATCTGGCAGGTTGCAAGTGTTGTTACAGTTATTGAGTAATTTAACTCTCTCTTCTCTAGCTAATGAGAATGCTGTGTCTCAATCCACTAACTATATGGCTAGTATAGTACTAGTTCAGGTATTAAAATCAAATTAACTCATCAGTATAGTATAAGAAATGGACTTTATGCATTTGATTTTATAAGTCTTCTTTAATGCTGATATTGTCCTTATGTGCTAGCCTGATAAAAGTCCATCATTCTTACTATGTGAGTTCTATTCTTTTTTCTTTTTTTTTTGTTTAAATCTAACAGAAAGATTGGATTTAAGTCATTTTCTTGGCAAATTGGTAGAGCACAGAGTGATGAGGTGAGGAAAGTGGTCAGATCAAGCTGGAGTTTGGAATGGCTAATCTGCTTTTCCTCTCCCTGCCACCTCAACATGGGTCTCCTTCAAGAAGCCTCTCCTGAGGAAATGAAGGAATTGTGGTGTTGGGAGTAAAGGCAGCTCCCAAAGTAGCAGCCAGCCACCATTCTAAACATTATCATGCAGTCTAAAAGCTGTATCATAAGGGACAGGGAGGAATAAAAACCACACTGGAAATAGTGAACTCTTAGAAATCTGTAGTAAATGTTGAGTTGTGTAAGTCTCTTTCTTTACAGTAGATCATTTGTCTTCTAACTTTGATTATTGTCATTTCTGACCACAAATGTAGTTGGTTTTGGATTCCCTGTTTTAAAAAGGTTGTGCTAGGTCAGTGTTAAGACAAGGTAGGAAGGGAGAATTTTTCAAAATTACAGTCCCTGATGAAAAGCTTCAAAAGAAGAATGGAAGTTGTTGGAAAAATGGAAGCAGAGTTAAAAGCTGACATACAGAGGGTGTAACTCTGTCTTCTGCAGTCATGGGCTACAGTAAATTGTAGTGGCAGAAATACAGGCTGGAAATATGGAGATGTTTTCCTAATGATTTGCACAAGAAGTTGTCTTGCAGACACAAGTTAGGAGCATTGTAAAATTTCCATCACTGAAAATTTCTAAGGACAAGCTAGGTAAACATCTGTCAGTCTTATTGAGGTCCTTTTCATCCCTGTATTTATGATTCTTTAATTCACATTAGTCATGATGAATTAAATCCAATACTATGTATGAATGTTACCAGTTATTTCACTGCTCTCAATGAGTTCATGCTTTTACAGAAAACAAGCAGATTGTACTGCATTTTTTACAAATACTGTGATGAAATTCTGAAAGAAGCATTCTTTTCTCAAGGAATTAAAACAAGCTCAGTCCTCTCAGCATGATTTCATTTTTAAAAGTTTTCTAAAGAGGGGAGGGAAGGGATATTATTTTGCTGTCTCTATTGTTTGGAAAATCAGTTGAATGCTTCAGGCTTTTAAATCTAACTTCAATATATTGTAGAATAGTAAAACTTTCTGTTCCCTTGCTTAGCCAGACAATGATTTTAAAGAAAGTAGTCACACAATAGTCACCTTCCAGTTGAAATCACCAATTTGTATTAGACCTTATCTTGAATTGCCTGAAGGTCCTACTGGGAGCCTGGGCTCTTGCTCTGTGTTGCAGTGAACAAGGAGGACAGCCATGGCTAGTCAGAATGCCTCTACTTAAAGCAAGTCATTTCTTAAGCATATGGTTCTCAGACTATGGATAGAACCATACCCAAGGTACCTTAAGAAAGTACTGACAGCCTGAAAAGAAATTTAAAAAGGAAAAAAAAAATTACCAAAATAACTTGAAGTTCAGAAAACCTCTAAAAATATTTTTTTCTTTGAATTTTTTCTTTCTTTGCATTTAAGTTATCAAAAGAAGATTGACAAAAAATAAACAGTGGAAGCTGATAAATCCTTCAAAAAGAAGGAAGCATTTTTTAAAAAGGGGATCATTCATTATTGAAATAATTTACATTAATAGTCTCTGTATTACGTTTGCAGAAGATTTAATGACTTTCTAAATGGTATACTATACAAGGTACATATCAGTAAAGATATTTCTGAATGAAGTTTTCCCTTGAATTGTGTAGGAGTGCAGACCAAAAGCAGTGATGTGTTGTAGGGTATTTTAAATCCAGGAGTGTTTATCTTTTGTCACTAATCCTGAGGTTGAGAAGGAAGAGGAAACTAATAGTTCTGTCTAGTTTACTGTTTTCCATAAGTGAATGGTATTATTGTTGAGACATAATGCTCCTTTATAGTACCAAAAGTTGCAAAAATTAGGAATTAGCTGAAAAAAAAAGGAACTTTTCTGCCTTCTCCAAACGTTTGCACGTTGTTTTATATTGTGTGTTCCAGTCTAAATATTTATAATGTTGCAGAGTGCATCATGGTTTAGCTCAGGATGAAATAAATTGTTTTAGTTCTGTAACTACAGCTATTTGAAGAGGCACCTTCTCTCAGGTATTCCTCATGGAAGGTTTACCTGACCCAGTGCACACTTCCTACATGAAGGTCATGAGCAGTGACAACCTCATCCTTCTAAAGAAAGATTTTAGAAGCTCAGGGATTGGTTTTTTTATTGCACCTTTTTGATTAAATTATCATACATCTTGATGGGAGCTAATTGTTCCCTAGGTGGTGTCCTGTTTGGGTGGGGTTTTTTCTCTTTCCCTGATAGAGACCTGCTACTTTTGTATGTAATTAATGTTCCTCAAAGAATGTACTTAATCCATAACTTGTTTAGATGCATCTAGAATTCACCTTGACCAGCCTTACTTTTCCCTTGATTTTTTAGTTTTGGAAGACCTTAAGTTTCATTTTTCCTCCTTGAATTTTGAAGCATCTCTTTTCCCCACCCTCCTTTTCTTTGGGAAGAGGTAGGGAGCAAGAAGAACAATCTTTCTTTGCTCTGTTTTCATTTTACCACTCCAGGATGTAACAACAGTTTATACATTTATAGCAGAAAATAAACAAGAAAAGGAATGTATCAAATTTTCTTATCAGCTTATACTCACGTGTCAGAAATATGAGTATACTGAACATACATTTTCCAATCCTTGGAAAAAAAATACTGCATCTTTTAATAAGAAAGATCCTTTGTCATAATGTTTTGAACATGAAAACATAATGTTTTGAACGTGAACATTTGTTTTAACATGAAAACCATGTATTTATAAAAAGGACCAGATCATCCTCATGCTTCTAAGTCTCTAGCATCACATTAAGAAACCTTTTTTATCTCACCTGTTCTTCAGTGAGTGAACTGTCTTTGTAATTGTAGCTAATGTCTTTTTCAAGATAATTACAGTGTTTCCCTTGCAGGATCAGAGATGTAGGGATTTTTTATAGGCCAGAAACTCTTGGCCCTTTTGAGAAATCATGTATATTTATACATATGTCCCTCTCTGGCTATCCACACAAGCACTTGGTTTCTTTATGGTCTTGGAAAGAAAGGTGATTTTTTGACTCATTATATTAAAACTGACTTTCTCTTTGCAAATAAAAATGAGTTTTGGAGATTATCAACGTCATTTGTTCACCTTAAAGTTTGGATCAGTCCTCCTTTTCTTTCCTGTGCTTTCACACATGTGTGTGTGTATATCTGTTTTTTGAAGAGGGGCAAAATATTACCCTGTAAACTGGGATCTTCCAGCCAGTGTAGATATAACATTTAACAGCAATGTTTGCTCTCCTTTCTGCAGTTCAGGGTTCCTTTTGGGTAATCACTCAAGATGGATAGAAGTTCATTTCCCCATGATAAAAACTAATTGAAGACAGATTGTGAAGCCAGTTCTCCTAAAGGAAGCAGTAAATGGGCCTGAGTGTTTGGTGCCAAAAGAAGGCATAAACCATAAACCTTCTGTGTCTTATCTCATTTTTTATGTTGGGGAAGGGCAGTTTTGTCCAGGTTTACAGGGGTGGTGGGGCTGACTGTTCTCCAGGGGTTGTTGCCGGGATATTGTGGTGTCCTGGTCACTGCACTGCTGGAGCTGGTACTGAGCAGGAAGGCAGGAATATCCTCCCTGGTGACTCTCTGCATTGCAGGCAACACTTATTTACTTATTTTCTATCTCTGCTTCCAGTCTTGTTCTTCAGGGCAATTACCAAACAAAAAGGTTTGCTAATCAAAGGAACCAAAATAATGAAGTTGTAGTTTTTCAGTAATACTTGTAAATCTTACCTTAAGAATGGATGTGCTTTTCAAAAAGAATAAATTTATCTAGAGTCTAGATTTATCAATAAATTTAGATAAAACAGGTTTGACTGTCTTGCCTAATGGAGTCTCCTTTTCCATAACAAGGCTATTTGTCATACCCTTGATAACCTAACCTTTGTTAACTGCTTGGAAACTATCAGCAGAGAAGTCAGAGCCTTTGCTGTAACCAGGATACCTTCTTGCCAGCTCCTGCTTTATCCATTACTGAAGTGCTAAACAAAAAAAGAGTAAAGAAGGAATTGTTTAAACTCATTATCAAAATCAAATCGTGTTTAGTAACAAAACCAAAAAAAGAAGACTAGAAATTAGAAAATAAGAAATATCTTATTTGCTTCCTTAAATATTTTGACAAACATTGCCAGAAGGGTAATGCAACTTGATTTTATAAACAATGTTTCTACAATATTTTTCATGTTCTTATTTACATAAGATGGGTCAAATTCAAGGAAACCATGAATATTTTAGGAAGAGGTAGAAGAGGACCTGTTTTAACATTATTTAAAAATCCACACACATTACATAAGTTTTTAAAAATTCTTTCTTTGCTGCAAATATCTTTCTGTTAGATTTATTAAAGATCTATTTTATTTCTTTAACTTTGGGACCCTTTAATCCTGTTAGTGCTTTGGTTATTTTATTCATTTATCCACTAACTTTTAAAAACAAGTTAGTAATGACTTAGAAATTGGCAAATATTTTGATTGCAGTATATTCTCTGACAAAAACATTATCTGTTGTGATAATGCAAAGACACAGAGAGAATTTTGGCTACTGTGGGGGTATAAAGTTCATCCTGTAAACTGACAACTGCCAGGCAGTGTAGGTAGAACATTTAAAGCCATTTATTTTGCAACTAAACATTGGGAAAGTGATGGACTTCAGAAGTTAAACTTCCCCATTTGAACTATTCCTTTTTTTTGTATAGCAAGGCAGACTTTATGCATGAAATACCATGTTGAGATTATATACTGCCAGTTAATTTTCAGCTCTGAATTTCATAAAGGGTATTAAATTATTCAAGTACACCAGTTTAATCAGTATTATTCTAGGGTACTAAATCTGAAAGAAAAATTAATAGAGTTTAATTTGGAAACTCCCCATTGTGTTCATATCAGAGAAAGGTAATCTCTAAATGTTTTTTGACATTGATTATTTCAAAATTCAAATTTATTTGGACCACATGACTTTTTTGATTGTAGATGTTTATAACTTGAGTATATTTGAGGGTTGGGGTTGTGTGGATACCTGTCTTCTTAAAGGAAACATAGATTTTTGAGTTGAAGCAAAAAGACAGATCATTGCAATTCTTACATGCTTCTCAGGAAAGTTGAGTTCTTTCCTGTGCCAAGAGATGAATGCAAGATTATTTGGGTTTATTCATCAGTACAATGTACTTGGATAGCATTCTAGGCTATTAGTAAAGTAATGGGAATAATTCCATTAATATTTGGGCCAGGTGGTCTCTCAAGGTGCCTTCCAACCTAAGTTGTCACCAGACCAGACATCCAAAAATTATGAAGCAAATGAGAATATTTTTAGAGGCAAAATTTTAAAAATAACCTGTCATATTTCCCAAGAAGGACAGCAAGTGGTTTGAATCCTCAGCTCTTGCTGGTAGTTAGTGAGAGTGGAAGAAAATGATGGAGCCAGAAAGATAAAAGGGTTTAAGCTGCAGTGAGGAACCTCAGGCCCAGACACCCAACCCAGTGTGGTCCATGGGGTTGAAGATAACAATGTCTCTTTTGAAAGTGAGCACCTGAATTGCTCTTTGAAAGTAAAGAGTCTGACAAGATGATTTGCTGAACTTCCATTTTGTTTTAAGTCTGCTTAAATCCGTTTTTCGCCATCAGTTTGCTTTTGTTTTTCTGAATATTTTCTAAACACTGCATAGAGTAAATGCTGCCTCACAGTTTTTCTGTCATGCAAATAAAATAGTGAAAATGTGTGAAAATTTTCATGGAAAGCCAGCTCTCTTCATCAGGGCATTGTCATTGAAATAACAACTGGGTAGATCTTTGTGGGTTGCAGAAGATTAGCACTGGGCTTTAATGTTTTCAACATTAAGTTGATACATTATATCATTAATCTTCTAGATGTAAGTGAGCCTGACATAATTAAGTTATCTTAATCCCTAGAGATTTTAGCTTTCACTAAATGTCTGAGCACTGAACTAGTTAATATGAAGCAATCACAACTGTTTATAATGTCAACTTTATTCCAAGAGTTTGAGGGGTTTTTTCCTTTTCTGACACCTCTTCTCTATGTGACACTTGCACTGAAAGCTGCATCTGCTCAAATTTATTTCTTATACAGCTGTTAGAGACATATAGGAGAGTATTAAAGTGTGTAAGTAGAATATTTCTTCTTACCAACAGGAGTATGAACAGTGGTTATGCAAGGCTGCTTCAGTCCATTCAGAAGATCATTTCCCAGGAAGGCTTTGATGGCTCTGATCCCCAGGTACCAAAGACCCTCACACTCCTCTCTAATCCTGTTTTCTTGATTTTCAAAGGTGACACAAGGTCTTGCATAAATTATTAAGGAACAAATTGTTTCTAAGCATTGCTAAAGTAAGCAAGCAAAATAAATAGTGTTGTTCATGTTTGAAGGGGTTTTTTGAGTTTTTACCTGTTACAGTTATGCAGGACCATGTGAGAAAGAAATGTAAGACAGCATTAGTAAAATGTCTTTTCTGTGAAATAACCTAATAAATGGATGGCCAAATATAGTATAAATAAATAAAACACATATTCATCTACAATATCTGTTTTTCAGATTATTACTTTAACATAATCTGTTCAAGGTCCTTGAGGTTAAACATTTACCCTTAAACATTCAGAATTTTAATTGTTATTTTAATTGGTGTGAATTTTTTAATTAATTAAATGGTGGTAACTTTAAATAGTAAGCATTGAAAGAAAAGTTAAGAAATAAGAATGCTATTTCAATTTACAAATCAAAACAGCCTATCATCCTTCCAAAAATCTCTTTATTCTTCATAAAACATAATGTGGGTAATCAAAAACATCTTAAGGGCAACAACATAGGCTGAAAGACCTTTTCTAATTTGAGCAGTGCCCTATCAGTTATTCTTTGGTATATTCAGTAAAAGTCCTTTGGAGCTGATGGAAATGATATAATAAATTGTATATATTGATGCTTAATCGAAAGGTAATCATTGCTGTACAACAGAAATGTTACTGCAGTAGAAGTCAGCTGTGTAAATGTCGGTGGTTGTGCTCAGCGCTGCCAGAGATGTCTGGGAGGGTTTTGCCTTCCCTTCGGTGGCAGTGCCAGACTGGAGAAGGCCATTGGTCCCTGCCAGGTCCCTCTCCCCACTCTGTGGTAGCCATGGCAACAGGGATGTGTCATCCTCATGTGCAGCACCAGGATGCTCCTCCTGCCTCAGAGCCCTGGGTGACACAAACACCCTGCCAGCCTCCAGCCAGCCAACAGCCTCCTGCCCCAGACATCAGCCTCTTATTGCTTGTTTTGCTTGATGTATAAAATATTATGTATTTTGCTTTTATATATATATATATATAAAAGAAAATCAAGGTTTTTCAGAGCCAGCATTTGGGTGGGTTTTTTTTTGCTTGCAAGTAAGGAAAAATTCAACATCACTGATTGTTATTTTCTCTACTTTTTGTCAATCGTTTCAAAATGTCTTACTGGTGTCAATAAAACCAGAACTTTAACTGAGCTGAATGTAACAGTGTATGTTTGCTAAATAATACATATAAGTTTCTAAGGTGAAGCTTTAAAAGTTGGAGAAGTCCTTTTCCAGGCCAGTTTATTGATCTAGAAAGCCATTAGCACTATGTAGTTCTTTCTGTTTCAAAGGAGGTAATGCACATGATTTCCTGGAGTGCTTTCTATTACTTTCTTTTCATATTCCACTTTTTCCTTGCTTTGCACACTGAAATTTTGTACATTTTACATTTTAGAAGTCTCTAATACACACTTCTTAAAGACATGTCCAGACCTGAATGTTGCAGTGACTCAGAACACACCTTGGATCTTTTATTTGCCACATCTCTCAGCAATTCTCTGCTATTTCATATCCTCTTCTGTTTACTGAGCCCTCAGAATTGTTGTTTAAGTAGGTAGGTGTGAAGATTGTAAAGAGCAGCCTGTGTTCTTCTGGACCTGTATATAATTGCCATATATAATTATAAAAGCTTCTGGGAAGTTTGATCATGTACACACCCCCACTCCCAAATAATCCTCTACCTGACTGGTAAAACTTTCAGATATTTTTGGCTACTTTCACATCGATTATGCCAGTGATACTTAGATTTATTCCTTTATTTGAAGAGGGGTGTGAAGAAAACTGAGCAGAATGTGACTCACCCAGCTCTGAGAAATGGTTTAACACAATTAGGAAGATTAGTGAAAACTACCATTAGAGGTTTAGTAGGCCTTTGATAAAATGGTCAGGCATCTCCAGGACCTACAACAGTTAACATTAGTTTTATAGAACCATCTGCAGGTTAATTTTGGTTTTTTTTACTGTCCTGCATGGCTTTGTGGACCTTAGGACAATAATTCCTGTTTGAGGTATTGGGATACAGAAAATTTTGGTCAAAGTTGACCAAAGCTAAGCTATAACCTATTTATTCCCACTGGCTGGAACACCTTTGCCAAGGTCTAATTGGAAAATCAGAGTTTGAATTACCTATAAGCTACAAATACAAACATCATGTTTACATCCTTTTTAAAACCTCTCAGTAACTCTTTGCTGCTGATCATTAAGTGGGAATCCTTCATAAACTGATCATGGTATTAAGTTATATAGAATAGTTCTTCTTTGTTTCAGAATATCTTGGGGTTTTCATGTTTGACATCAGAGCTTTAATAGGCAACTATTTCCTTAACATTTCTTTTGTATACTTTGGAGGCTTTCAGGGTAATTGTTGGGGAGGATTGTTTGGTTTTTTTGTTGGCTTGGAATTGGGTTTTCTGAATTCTTCATAATCAGAATTTCTGCTGCCAAATCAAACACTGTTACAAAATTATATGAAAATAAATTTAAAACAAGAAATTAGAAAATAAATCCAAACTTTCAGACTAATGTGAATATAAAAGATCTGGTGGTATATCTAAAAAAAAAGTTATCCTACTCTTTACAGCAGGCTGGTTGTGGGAGAATATATTAGACTTAAGATTTTCTTATATTTCAGTTGTGAAATAAACTGTCAAGGCTATGTAGGCCTGACAGAATTATACTGGTAGAAGTTCTATTACTGGCCAGATAAATACACCTGATATTATCTGGTGTTTGGATAGCTTTATCTTTTACTACTCTTATGATTTGATGTTGTGAAATAAGCATCTGTCATCCTCTCTCCAGTAAGAGAACAGTTTTTTCCTTCTCTATGTTGTTCTTATGGATGTTACTCATAAGAAAAATTTTTTTTCTCATTTTAAAAGTTTCTGTAAGTTTTATGTATGTTTGTGTTGAAATTTTGAAATAGTAGAACACTTTCTCTGCCTGGTTAATATCCATGATATGTGGATAAAACAGTTCTCTTAAAATCCTGGTTTTTTTCCTGTTGCTTAAGTGCACATCAAGAATTGCCTGAATCTCCTCTGATCAGAAGTAATCAAAGAATATTAGACTAAAACTTATCTTTTTTCTATTCTTTTTAAAAGTGAACATCTGATCCTAGGGGATACCACACAGAGAAGTCAAGATTGTGTTGTATTAGCCTGTTCTGTTTTCTTGATCTTCATCCAGTAGCGTAAAAATTCACTTTTCGTAGCTAAAGCCTAAAAGCCTGCAAAGCCTGGGACTAAAGAATCTCCCAGAGCTGAACCATAGATTGCTTCCCCAGAGCCTGGAAGTGAATTGGCAGATCAGCTCCCTGTGTAAGACACACAAGTGGGTAAATGCAGAGCCACGTGGGACCGTGTGTGTCACAGCCCAGGCTCTGGCAGCCCCTTATGGATAAGGAAGCATTTGGAAGAGGAACCTCTTGTCAAAACCTTTCCTCTGGATTTCCAGAGCCAGCTGTGCTTGATAGTTGCTCTTTATTCCAGCTGTTAGAAATCAATATCTACAGTTTATCAAAACACCTTTTTGTAGTGAAAAGTACCTGCAAGATTTTACTTACCAAAAAAAATATGTATATATATCTGTGTGTATATAATTTGAGAAAGGTGATCTTTAAGTATGAATCCTGAACTCCAGAAATGTTTCTTTGATCACCTTGTGCAGGAAGTCTTTCAACAAGGGAGTTCATTGTCTCTCTCTCAGCTATTGATAGCAAATATTTCTAAAATCTTTTCCAAAGATCATCGGGAAAGGTCACATCGTATAAGCAGAAATGAGAGTTGTCATCATGAGAGATATCATTTTTGCCATAAACAAATTACAACTTTGACTTCATAATCTGTCCCTTGAGAAAAGGAGCTTCATTTTAGCCACTGCCTCCAAAGCAGACCAGAAACTCACAAACTCAAAGTGTGGTCCTAAAGAGAAAATCTGCTGATGTCCCCATCAGACTCTGGGTTTCCACAGCTGCGTCTGCAACTTCCTTTATTAGCGGGATGGAGGTGAAAGGAACGTAAATGATGCTTGGAGATTTCTAAGACAGTGACAGGCCCATGTGTTGGTGAGTTAAGGCACTGACCTTCCTCACTCAGAAGGAGCAGAAAAAGTGGAATTGGAGCAAACACTCGGAATAGTCAGGTTGTGAAAGTGATGCAGCGGAAAGGTGAAAATAGAGGGAGAAGTTGTGTTTGATTACTCCCAGGCACTTTCAGCAAACTGTCTTAGAACTGGGAGAAAATACTCTTCTACATGCTTTTTAAGACAGTGATGGAGGAGAGAAAGGATATAAAAGGTCCTAGAGTTACTGGATTTGATGTTAGAATATGCTTGTATTTGGCTGGTTAAAAAATACAAATTAGTAGTTCTCAGTATTTCCATGTGTCTGTTACATTTGTACTTATCCATGATATCTAAGCACTGAAAAAAATCCCATAAAAATTTGCAATTTTTATAAGATCAATTGAGATTACCATGATTACATAAAATACACAATTAATATGCACATGCATTCTAGAAATTGTATTCCTCCTAGCCTTTAAAAAATGACTTTTTTTTTTTTTGACTTTTTTTTTTCCCCTCCCCAACAGAAAAAACAAAGGAATGTTTTGAGGATAGGAATTCAGAGCCTGGGTTCCATATTATGGGGTGATGGTGTTTGTTGCAGTGATAATCCTGAAGATCCTCATAGCTTGACAAAATTTCTGTATGTTCTTCGTGGCCTGCTGAGGAAGTCTTTGTCAGCCTGCATCATCACGGTGCCAGCTCACCTTATCCAGGTAAGAATGCTGCTTTTGCTGGATTTCAGAGCTGACACATCACTTAGCAAAAGTTTAAACTTATGGTAAGAAAACAAATGCCAATTGTGGACATTTTAAAAAGTCTTTTTGTTCAAAGTGTGAACTTAAAATGTGACTATATCTTATGTTTTTGTGGGAGAGTCATGCTGCAAAATCTACAAAGATGTAAGTATAAAATTATTTTAGTAACAGTTATGCCAAATGTGGGTCTTGCTCCTTTTTTGAAAAACTGTCAATATTTCAGTAACTGTAGAAAAACAAAGAAAATGCCTGTAGTAATCTCTTTTTCAGATATTTTTACATCTCCGTGCACTTTCCCAGTGCTTTCAAAATGCTTTTTGGAGTATTAATACAAGGCTTTTCAGTCCACTGTCTTTATATAAAATGCTCATTGTGATGATATTTGATCTTGTTTTTAAAGCCAGGAATTGAAAGGTACAGGTTTGCTCTATAAGTCTAATTTCCCTTTGTATTGGGACGAGGAGTAAACCAGAGTCATCTTCCCAACTGCAAAATCAGAAGCAATTAACAGCATTGTTCCTGATAGTATATGGAGACTTAAATATATCTTCTGAAAATAAACTTTTTTAACAAAAGGGAAAATGTAGACAGTCTTTTGTTCTGTGAGTGGTACTGTAACTTACAAAAGCAAAATCATTATTCACAATGAACAGAGAACCTGTAATTTTAGATATTTGATTTGATTATAGTAAAAAAGTACTGGATAAAACCTCATATTATGCAAAATATTTTCATAGTAGGTGAGTTTTTCGATAAATTAAATCCTAGCTTAGGTAGGTACATGACTCACATATATTGCATATTGTTAAAGGTTGCTGAATGCCTGCAAATGTTATTTATTTGGATACCAATGCAATTACTCCTTTGAAAATAAAGAAGGTCGATTTTCTAGTTTTACCATTGTAGTCAAAAGTGTGTTAATATTTCTCCTCCATCTCCTTGCTTATTATTTTTAAATAATAATTTAGAATAATTCAGAAAGAAAGACAGTTGAATTTAGTGTAAGAAATAGAATTTATGAATGTAAAATTATCATCCTACTTCTTACATACTGGACATGCCTGTCCATTATTGGGACGTACAAACCCTTTCCATTGTAGTCTTCTTTATACATCATGCCAATAAAAAGTATATTTGTATACTTAGAGAAGTACAGAAGTGCCTGTAAGAAAAAACTGAGGTTTGTTTCAAACTTTTTTGAGAAGTTGATTATTGGTTTGTGCTTATAAATTCCAGGGAGTTAGGATTGAAATTATACCTCATTTTTTAAATAACTGAGTTTTTAATTTTAACAGTAAGTGCTAGAATATTCTGATTATTTTTTTTTTTTAAGAAAGAAACATGCACAGAATCATTGCTTAGCTGTCCTAAACAAACAGGGGCATTAATTTGGGTTGGTTTTTTTTTTTTAAATTACAAAACTTGGTGTAGCCTTCTTTAAGCACCGCAGCGTGGAGAGAGCTGTCATTAGGAGGAGCAAAGCTGCTGAGGGTTCCTCCTAGCCCACATTACTGAGTTCCCAGAGCCCTGCTGTGTAGTTGTTGCCCTCTCCAAGAAGCCTGTTAAAGAGCCCCTGGGAGCATGTGTCCAGCCTCCCTGGCACTGCTTAATTGGTGAGGCTGGCGAGATGAGAGGACAGGCGAACATGTGCTCGCGCCTCTCGCGCCGCAGACGGACCTGCCTTATAATAACAGCAGCTGCTCACATTCTCACTGCACAGCTCCTCTCCTTTCTGTTGCTGAGGGCTCTTGCTGCATTCAAAAAGTAAAGAAAATATCTCTTCTTTCCAGCAGAGAGAGAGAGAGAGAGAGGGTTTTTTTTTTGTTGTTTTCCAAGCGTATACGTGTTTAATTTGGTCGGTTCTGGTTTTCTCATGTGCTTTATCTGTTGAACCTTCAAGTCAGTGCACTGAAGGTACAGAGAATTCTCACTGTTTTTCTGAGGATATAGTAAATTTCCCATTTTTCCCCCTGTATTACTGTTCCTATACTTCCCAGACTGTAGTCCAGCCCCTAACTAAATTAATTGGGTGGCCTCCAAGTAAATTCTTCACACGTCATTTCCATGAAGGACATTAAGTTCAGAATCACATTTAATCAAAGTTTTGTCTGGATGACAAATACAAAAAAAATAGTTTTGTCTTTACCTGTTTTGTTCTGAAAAGTAGATTTTTGGTAGTGACATAACTTATCTTGTCTCTGTCAGTCTCCAGTAGTAGTTACTCCAGTGAAAAAGGAATAAAACAATTGTCAGCATTGATTTTTGACAGGGGCAATGTCTTTTCAACCCAGATTAATTCTGTTTTTTAAATAAAGTCTGTGAATTTTATATATATATAAAATATATAAAATATATGTATATATATATGTATGTATATGTATGTATATATATGTATGCATATCTATTTTTTTTAATTGTTTTATGTATTTTGCCAAATACTTCACATCTTGTGCTGTGACAGGGAGTTCACAAATTAAACCTACCTGGTTTCTTTCTTTTTCAGAAAGTTTAATTTTGCCTTTACTTTTCATATCTTATCCTTTATTTTTTTTGTCTGGTGAGACATTCAAATGATCCTATTTCATATTTTCTGTATTCTGGTTTGTAATTTTCCTCCTGCTGCTTCCTTATTCTGTTTCTAAACAGTCACTTTACCTTTTCTCAGTAATACAATAATTTCATTATTGTTTGTTCACTTTTCCTACATTCTCATGCCTGGTTTGACTCTTCAGTGATTACAGAGCATTAAGCAGTGATTTTGTTCCTGATGTTTTTCCCCTCTGTGATGCACATGCATCAATGTGGCTCTTTCATTATTCCAGCAATGCATTGTCTTAGATTTAATAACTTGGAATTGCATTTATCCAAAGACAATGCTCATTAATCCAGCCTGATGGGACAGTTCATGATTTCTGTAAGGCTATATTTTGGTAAAAGATACAAGTTTGCAAAAAAAAAAAAAGTCTGTTTGTGTGTGGAGTTTTTCCAGAGTAATTGGAAGAAATTGTAGTCCACTAAAGGACACAGATTTTGGAGGTTTTATTGATGAAACTTCTAGGGCAAACAGTGCATGAAGAAAAAAGAAAATTCTCTTTTCTCAACCACAAAAATAGGAATACATTTTTCTGGAAGAGGGTTTCAAGAATATGATACAAGAAAAACTTATCCAATTATGAATTTTATTCAGGTGATGTGTGACAAGTTTTACTTGATTGATATTTTCTACCGATTGAACATACTCTTATCTTACACTGTCTGTCAGGTAATAAATATTGAGCTACTTACAAGTGTGATTAAAATAGTTGATGGAAGGTTATTTTTCAAGTCTTCCTACTGCTTCTTGAAAATGCATTGTGCCTAGGAAATCATATGGTACATTTGAAAAAGGAAAATTACTTCCATTTTTAAAATCTAGCATTGATCAAGGAGGGCAGAATGAAGAGGCATTTAATTTGTTGTTGCAGTTTTTAGGTTTAAGGAATATTATTAAAGCAAGTAAGGATTCTTTTTCTGCATTTTGATAATCAATGCATTTACATACCTAAATTTAGAAAAAGAATTATTGTGCAATTGTGTGACTGAAAGGACTTTAATGTCACTGCTCTATAATGGAAAAGTCCTAAATAAGAATTTAAAATATTTTCCCACTGTGTTTTGTTTTTCTTTAATTACTAGAAATCATTGGTAAATCCAAGAACATCTTTCCCTGAAAATACTAAATAGTGTTTTTAATTTTGTTCCCATTCTTCCCAATTTTGTATCACTTAAGTAGCAGTAGATTTTTTTTTTAGTAGATTACTATATTCAACAGGGAAAGCATAGCACTTGTTAAAGCCATCCTTTATTTTGAACTCAAAGCTGGTATTACTGGTAAGGACTAAAAACCATATTAGTCAGCATGTACCAAGGGAAATTAATTGACTAATGAAAAGTCAGTATGAATAAGTCTTCTCACAGAACCTGTCCTCAGTCACTGAGTGATTTAGCAGCTAAACTCAAAGTCAAGCAATGCAGTGCTTTAGAATCCATTGCTAATATAGGATTATAAGGTGTGAACCCCTATAGCTGGTGAATTTCTCACAGTTTGAAATCTTTATTTCTATGACAAGAACGAGGAGTGATCGCCTACCTTAGAGCTCTAACTTGAGATTTCACTGGTGAAAAAGTGCTGAATAACCTCCAAATGTATTTGATGAGGTGGCTGCACCAAAGATTTGTAGTGAGATCCAACATCATGTGGTTCCTATACCACAATTAAGGAAATTTCAAATTTCTCTGCAAGACAGAAACCATGAAGATCAAACTGTTGTAATATTTTTCTGTGCTGGCACTTTTTTACTTGCTTTTTCATGTTGCATGTTGCTTTTTGTTGTATGTGAGACTTTAACAATTGTTAATATATTGATTTACAAATAAATATCAAGATTTGTAAGTTTATGACAAGTGTTTTGGGTTATCCACATAGTTTTAGGATTTGAGAATTTTGGGTTTTAGGCATTCATAAAAGCATCTTTAAAATTCTGACTGAGCAGGAAGCTCAGAGAAGCATCCTATTCAAAATTTAATTTAATGGGAAACAGTATTTTTTGTATTTTTTTTTTTTTCATTTCTCTTATTGCTGATGTATTTGCTAATCAAGCTATAAAAGAAATAAAATTATTTTGTGGTTTCATAGAATCAGATTTTGGTTGCCAACAGGCTGTGATCTAGCACTAGCACTTCTGATTTGGTAACAGCTACCCATTTCAAAAACAAATTCAATACACATCTGAAGCATGTTTTTGTCCCCACATAATAGTTTTCTGTTAACCAAATTAACTATATTATGATGAGCAGTCACACTTTATGTTAAAGTGGTGTGCCTAAAACAGCCTTGTCATTTTAATAAATTTTACTTTTTAGAAGGACACATCCTCACATCATTTCTCTTTAATAAGAAAATCTCTTTCCCAAAATGC